CTAACCCTAGATTTTCTGAGGCCCCTGCGCGGCAGTTAGAAACTGCTGCACGGGGTTTTCTTGCCACGTGCGCAGCCACGCACCCACGCAGCTTAGTGGGAACAGTGCTTGCACCTCTAACCCTTTAGAAAAAAAAACCCAGGGGTGTTCAAACTTGACAGCTTTAAGACTTGTGGACTTCAACTCCCAGAATTCCTCCTCTCGCTCTTGATGATGTGTGGATGGGCGGGGGGAGGGAGCTGGAGCCGGATCTAAACGGCACTGCAGATTTATGGAACCTCTTCTATAGAAGACGTTAGAACTGGCAGGAACCCATCCCTGCTCCTCCCCAACCTGACTGCTGCTAGCTCCCCTGGCCACTGGTGTGCCACAAGAGAACGGAAGGAGTGCTCTACCTCCGACCCAATATTTTTGTACTTTTGTCAATTTGTGGTCAGTCATCTCGACAGGAGGACAATTGTGGCGGGGGGTGGAAAAGACCAGCTTCAAATGTGAGGATATGAGCAGGCTGATTTGTTACCTGCGATCTGCTGATTGGGATCTGCTCTTCAAACACTGTCCAGATGACCGCTTCATCACAGCTTGGTGTGGTGAGGGATCCTTTGTAGCGGTAATATTTGGACAATGACGCTATGCTGGGGAGAAGATTGCTCAAGGAAAAGGTGGATGCCATGTCGACGTACTCTCCTAGGCAAAAGGAGAACCATGAATGGCTACTGGAGAAGCAGCAGCTCCATTCTGGATTGACGCAGGATAAGACGGAGGGAAGTTAAAACAGTTGTGTAACAGACACTCCGTAGTGTATCAGTTCTGACCTAGGCTTCCTGAGACAGTAAAAATCACACACTTAGTCCCCCAAACCCTCTTTTATTTAAACAGCTGTGAATTACTTTCATTCACAGCCCCAAATGAGTCACAAACAGTTTGTGAAAAGTCCGACAGAAGTCTGCCACAGTCTTTCACGGTTAAGGCTGATAAGCACCCACCTTTATCTCCCTTGAGACGCTGCCAGAGACCTAATTGCCAATTAGTTTCCCAAGGCCAAAAGGAGCACGGAGTCAAACGGTGCTTCAGAGTTTGAACCGACCGGAATGAACACAACTGCTTCCTGCAAAGTCTCACATCCATTTGCTCCTCTTTGATGTCTTATGGGAGGGGCCAATCATCTCCAAGCCTTTCTCCCAAGTTGCCCCTTTTGTCTTAATTGTTCTTGCCTTCTGGCAGCTCTGCGGATGTGCACACTGGGAACAGGCTCTCACTGTTCTTCTGCCTCCCTGATGTCAGACTCTGGAGGCTCCAGAGGCAGCAAATAACTACCTGGTAGCCTCCTTTCTACCTCCTATGAAGAGCCCTCATCCGAGCCTTCCCCAGACTCCAGGACTGGCCCAAGTTCCTCCCCAACCTCTTCACTGTCTGACTCCACTGCCAGCTCTGCAGGCCACAACAATATCCTCATGTAAAGGAAGTATACAAGATATGATGTTCTCAGCTCAGAATCGCATGAAGATGCTTATGGCTTCCAACTTATTTGGCCACCCAATAGGACTACAGCTCCTCGGGTTACTAAAGGACTTATGGCTATCCATTTTAAGCTAGGAATTGGGGTCCCCCGTCTCCCCTCTCAGAAATTTAGAGTGCATCTTAGTTCAGAAAACCTATGTTTTCGAACACGCAGGAGCACCAATACTGTTGTGTTTCATGAAAGCAGCTGCATCTTATTCCAGGCATGTGTGGCTACAGTCGAAGTCTCCCCACAGTAACCATGCACTCCAGGGAAAAGACAGAACTGCTTTAATGAGTCACAGGCAGAAGAAGCATTTATCTTCCAGGGCATGGCTAAGAGGCTCACCTGCACGAGAGATGTTTCTCAGGCTGGCAACGATGGTGTTGTAATTAGTGTTATCGGTGTCTCCTATCTGCATGATAATGAGAAGAAGACAGATCTATAACCTGCAAGGTAGCTTAAGGCAGCAAAAAGTAAGTGGACATTTATTGTCCTCCACAGAGGACAATCCGTTATCTGGAAGCTGTTTTTTCCCCAACTCTGGTTTAATTAATAATAACAACAAAGCGTAAAACTAGATAGATAGACAGAGGGAGGCAGAGAGACACAGAGAGACAGAGAGACAGAGAGACAAAGAGACAGAGATAAGAGATAGATGGATAGATAAGAGAGAGAGAGAGAGAGATAAATAGAGAGAGAGACGAGATAGATGATAGATAGATAGATAGATAGATAGATAGATAGATAGATAGATAGATAGATAGATAGATAGATAG